AAGAGAACTGCGTTTAATAAATAGACAAGGTTCGCATGTGGCACCTCAATTCTACTGCCAACTTTTGAAATTGAAATTCCCTCCCCCTCCGCCTACAACACTACCGTGCGATAATCATGTGATAACAGATTTTCGTTAAAACGCGTGATCACCGGAAGTACTAAGACAGCAGAAGACACATGACGATACGAAAGCTTTCGTTGTAAACGTCTGTGCCGAGGTTCGCTGCTGACTTTGACGCTGCGCTGACGTCAGCCATTTCGTAGAGTGAGTTACGATCAGTGACTACGTCCAAATGTTCACAATCATGCTGACCTTAACGATACGATGTTAAGCAAACGGATGATTGCCTATTCGCCAAACTTGCATTAAATCTAAACTCATGACCATGAAGGTGTCACTGACTACGATATTGGAATCATACGCTAGAATGAACTACGACTGAAGATATTTACTTGTGCAAACATAAGTGGTATTTTTGAAGGGATGTCGTGAGTGGTTCACATCAAAAAAGCGCTATGTGAAGCAACAGCACTGGTTAATTGGCAGAACTACGTAAGAGACGACTGCACTCTTTGCTGATTAAAGAAATCTTAATGAAGACAGAGATTACAAAAACGAAGTCAAACTCTTAGAAAAATTCCAAAGACAATAAACTCTTCACTCAGGGCTTCTTCCGCATCTCACGCCGAAATCGAAACAGCTAAAGTCAACCAGGAAGCCAATATGCAACAGTGATGAACAAGGTAAATGCAGGTGTGAATTCGAAAAGGAATCGTTCCTCCCAAGATTTACCAGACGGTATTTGATACCTAATAGCGAGTGTTGATGAGCTGACGACGCACCAGACATAACAAATGCCCTTGCAAACGAATCAATGAGGCGGCTGATCACTAAGAGGCAGTAATGACCAGGTATTGAATACTTTTAACCGTTCACAAAACAAGTAACGTTATAAAATATGCTCTGACACAGTCCAATGAGAGGACGACATTTTGCACTGTACTG